ATTCTATGAAACACCTCCCTTGGCTCATTCATGCACCAGGCCATGCTATGCACACCATTCAGTGAGGAGAATCATTCTGTAAAATGTTAACATTCGGTTAAAAAGAGTCGAGAGGGAGGTATTTCAACTCTTGGAAAGGGGAGATAACAGCAGGACAAGGGGAAATGGTTTGAAGTTGAGGGAGGGCAGATTTCAGTTGGATGTCAGGGGGAAGCTCCTGACAGAGAGAGTGGTGAGGTGCTGGAACAGCTGCCCAGAGAGAGACTGTGGATGCCCCATCCATCCCTGGAGGTGTTCAAGGCCAGGTTGGATGGGGCCCTGGGCAGCCTGGGCTGCTGTGAAATGTGGAGGTTGGTGGCCCTGCATGTGGTTGAGGGTTGGAGCTTCACGATCCTCAAGGTCCCTTCCAACCCAAGCCATTCTGTGATTCTGTGAGATGCACAACGAGGCAACCCAGTGCTTTCCAGAGCAGAAGTTGAAGTCGTGGGATCTAATGTACATTCTGTCTGAAAACACACTGCCAACTGCAGTCGGTCACCTCGCAAGGACGAGCGCTGCACACACACCTGTGCTGGGCTCTCTGCTTGGGCATCTGCTCATTTCTTGATATTCCCAGCCACAAAGGTCCAAGCAACCCAAGGAATCCTTAAAACTCAAAACTCAGAAAGAACTTCAAATAAAATAAAGATGCATTTGCTCTCCTGGTGCTGATTTCCTCTTTCTTTATGTCACTCAACATCACTGCTCCATCCGAGTCCCAATCAGTGAGCACTTCACAGCCAACATCTCCTGAAATATTGCTGTTGATGCAATCAAGTCCAGCTGAACGTCTCCCTAAAGATGTTTCCATCATTCACATTCCTCCCCTCCCCCTTAAAAAAAGCCCTAGATTCCTCCATCTCTATTTAGCACTGAAAATAAACACACCGCCGCATCCTAAATCACATTTGGATTAAAACATCAACAGAATCACTCGGGGTTTCTTTCTGGTTCGTACTACATGCCTTTGTCCAGGAGAGGAGGAAAAAAGAGCCCTTGACTGCTCCATCCACAGCACTCAGCACCAAACGACTGCACTCTGAAGGTAATTCGGGCTGTGGGAATGCATGACCTGACAGCTCACAAGGGGGAGGGCAGGGAGAGGGGGGGGAGAAAGAGAGGAAACTGTACATAAAATAGAATAAAACCCAGCCCAGCACAAAACCTTTTCTGAATATTATGTCATTGCTCTGTGCCGCACGCAGGGCTGACGCTGAGCACCTCTGTGGCACAACCAACCCACACTGAGCTGCCCTGAAAACCGCAGTGCCAATCACGAAGCATTAAAGCAACGATTCTAAAAATCATCATAACTTCACCGGGATAAAACACAGCCCGCATCTCACAGCCTCAAGGCTCCACTCTGCCAATCCCTGATCCCATCAGTGCCATTTCCACCAAAGTTCCAGGAGGGCTTCGGCTCTGTTCCCAGCTCTCCAAGGCAAACCCCTTCCTTCCAGTGCTCCCTTCTGCACCCACAGCCTGCAGAGCTGCACGCAAGGAGGGAAATCATCCACACGCAGAAGCACGGACCCGAAAACTCAATTTCCTTTCCGACACGAGAAGAAAAAGGTGAAACTTGGCTCGGAGCTCACATCAGGAGTTCCCTGCAGGGTGCAGACCCCACTGAGGGGCTCCCAATCCCAGCTCCTCCTCACTCACGCCTCATTGCCCCCAACCCGTCGCACCACACAACGTGGCCTCCTGCCAAAATCTTTTTTTTTTTTTTGGGGGGGGGGGGGG